ATGATTCCTACTCTCCCATTAGAAGCGCCAGCTGCGTTTCTCCACGCAGATGAGGTCACTAGATGAATCCCTTTGTTCATCTTTTCTATCCTGGTAGGCTCAGAATGCACTACATGATGTTCTTGCAGGCCAAGGATGTGCAGTTTGATTCGAGAAAATAGTTCTGCAAGTTCGATGCGTTTGTGCTGTTCTCTGGCTGTTCTTATGTTAAATGTGCTAACCTTAGCAGTCCTTTTACATGATACAATACAATTGATGTTCATATTTTTTTGATGTTTTCTTGTTTGACTTTCTGTAGAAATAGGTTGTCGTGTTGTGGAGACCGAGTTATCAGCTTCTGTAATAGCAGCGTAATTACCCCCGCAACCACTTCCACTAGAAAAATAAGGGGCTTTAACCCTTAAGCTGTTGATAAGATTCATCTTGACTTTTCAGTTGGCTCACAATCCTGTGCAGTCCCCTGCACATTGGCAGTGGATTGTGTTCTTAACTCTTGCGCCACTAAAAGAGTAAAAGGTTAAGGCAATCCGCTTGAACAAAAGCCATCTTTAACTCTCACCATAATATCTTGGGTATCTTGAGCATGTAATTGCACGGACATATGCTATACAAGACAAATGTGACACTTCCTTTTTCTACCAAACAGCATCAGTTGTAATCCTTACCCAATCGTCACCTGCTCCAGTGTGGGACGTTCCGATTTTATCCCAAAGCATAAGGAGGTTAGAGTGAGAACAGAGCTACACTTTAGCGGGGACTAACCCTTCCCCTGACTACCTCGTTACCCGGTACCCCGGGCATAGGGAGCCGTATTCTGACTACCAGAGTGTGGTCCAGTCTAGCTGGGTCATAGTAGACTAGGTTGAACAGGGTAACAGCCAACACCTCTTTAGCTACTGTGCAATCCACAGTAAAGATTTACGAGTCTCAAAGCCTCTTGTAGACCAAGAGTTAAGGAGTCAATAGATCAAATTATTGAACTTCCGGGGCTCAATGTCTCCCGTCGACCGTCCTGCCTTTAGCCTGGACCCCCTGTCCAGTATCCAGTCTTCACCACGTGGAGGTAGTGGCTTTCATCATGCTGTCCGATGAGTGTCTGGAAGAGGGCACCAGCAGGATACCCCTTTTCAAAGTTCTGGGAGCCTCACATCAGACCAGGGCTTCCACCCAGCTTCTATCCAGCGGTGACGCCTTGGGCCACCTAAGCTTCACACAACCATTGAAAGACCACCTGCCTACTTGTAAAAATGTTGATGATGCGATAAGAACACTGTAACTTTGAAGGAAAGGCTTTCCAACCATCTTCTGACGGAGCAGAGAGTGACGAAGCGGAAACAGATGACGAAGAAGAGGAAGTGGAGGATATTGACTCATCAGAGGAATGGGCGAAAATAGTAACTGTGTATGGTGATGCTCTGCATCATGATACGGCTGTTGAGGTTTGCCTCAATGGAGGGCGAGATCGAATGCCATCCCAGTCAAGATTTTAACGACTCCAGGGCCATAAACAAGCGAAGATATCACTTAATATCACATGTGATCATGCAGCTGATGGTAACTGCAAGATTCTTTCAGTTGGAGATAGAGCATGGTTTCTCGTTAAGCCTTTAAGCGGATGATCAGGAAAACGGAAACAGAGATCGTGAAGGTGAGAAGAAAGGCTTTATTCCTCTCGTACCAGTTGCGGTCAGGGTTGGGGTCATCAGTGAGTTGCGTCCCTACTAACTCAGTTTGCCATGGCCATCGAAGTGAGCATTACATATGGCTGATATCATATCTGGATGGCCAACTTCTTCTGAGCACATCAGTGAATAAAATACTGCTTTTGGGTGATATTTAAGCGATTATATCTATTGTGATGTTGTAGTGATGAACAACAACAGTGATGTTGTACTGATAATTGTTTTGCTAGGTGCCTATATGATTTTATTTCCTTCAAATGAAAAATTTGTAAAAAACCCAAAAAAACCCAACTCCTACCCTGAAAAAGGTCATACTGGGATTGGGTTTTTTTGGGTTTTTTTGGGTTACACCCCCCCCCCCCACAGTTTTACCTGGATAAATTAAGTGCTGATAAACTAGAACTATTCTAACTCTGATTTGCCAGGTACCCTTTTAACAGGGTAACTTCATCTCCCTAGCAAATTATTTTTTGTTGAATCAGAGCTTGACTGTCGTCTTGGCTTCTCTGAAGGGATGTCTGATCAAAGTGCTGGTATTTGAAATAGGTGGAGGTCGATTGGTAGTTCAACTTACATGGACACGTTCATTTGAGTTTGAGAATATTGGTAAACAAAAATGAGAGTGTTTTCGACGATAGTGACTTAATTTTCGAATCTATTAACCCAGCTCTGAAGTTCTGAACATTATCCACGTGACCCATACTCCCATGTGCACTGCTCAGAAATAAAATGTATTGTTGTAAGGCACTATAATTTTTTAAATGTCACATTTTTGTGACTTAGTTAACTGTAGCTGCCCAATTAACATTCCTTGGTCTTAAATATAGTCAATCTAACAATTGTGATATAACATTGGTTAAAGGGCACAGATCCAGTGGCGTAACGTTGCTTGTTAGCGACCCCCCCCCCCCCCCCCCCCCCCTTGAAAATGCGCCCACCTGCTGGCGCCCCTTCCCCTTTTGGCGCCTCTCCCTTAAAATGAACAAATCCTAAAAATCCTGTTTCTACAGCAAAACACGCAGTTTTGCTAGTACCTCAGTTAAGTTTTTCAAAATTATCCCACATTCAAACGACGATTTTGTGCCCCCCCCCCCCCCCCCCCCCCCCTAAGATGGTTACACCACTGCACGGATTAAGCTGTCATACGGCAATATTTGGATAACTTTGTCACACTCATAATACGATACCTCTTTTTTACTGTGAGGTGTACTCGAACCCTTCGAACTTATAATGTGATGGTTCTTCTATCGATTGCAGCCCTAAAGAGAAAAGACAACTTTTTAGGAAATGACATATTACTACCACATAATAACTCATTTTTATGTCCGTCACATGTTTATAGTGTGACAAAGTAGACATTTCCGTGCCGGCCATATTTAGGCGATATCCTATCACCTGTTTAGGATATCGTTATGTGACAAAGTTTGCCTAGAGGATAAGACGATTATCCTAACCATGAAGGGTTTAAATAATTTCATAGTTGACAAATTCAACTATGCCGTGCCTTTTAATAAGGCCACTAATATTTACCAATATTCTCAAACTCAAATGAACGTGTCCACATATTATCTTCAATGCACTTAGGTGAATACTTTTGCTATTGCTCAAACGACATTTTTCATGTGCCTATTTCATGTACCAGGACTTTAAGATATATACTTGATTACTCCCAGTACTCCATATATTGACAAGTATGTCTTAAGTAACAATTTATCTTGTACTTCATTTCGTTTGTACCCACTAGATGCGATCTAGGGCTTAGTAAATAATGATAACAATTTTTATGCGCTTAGTTAAATACATCTGCTACGGTGTGAACGTATTTTTTCATGCAATTGTGGGCTAAGTAAATAACAAAGCTTAATCAAAATATGTTTTTTTTTAATTATCAATTAATGAACAGCTACAGATTATACTAATCAACATTAACAACACTAACAGGATGGATAATTATAGATACGCTCTTTTTAATGAAGGTTTTGTGTCCAAGTACCCCAAAGTAACATTGGCTCTTTTCCTTGTTACTGCAGCAGGTTACAGCGAATTTTCGAAGATGTCACTGTCATACAATGTATGCAATGAGTTTAAAATCAATGAAGAATACATTCAGCACCCTGATGTTGAGTTAGAATCTGTCACGACTAAAATGCTATTCAAGATTTCCTTTGGCTTCATCCTCATCTTTCTTCTAGCAGCAGAAACAGCCCAAAATGGATTGAGCTTTTATGACACTTGTGGTTCAGCCATCCGAAATGTTCTACACTACTGTGCATACGTTTTATGTGGTATGTACTGGTCAGGTATATTTCTGTGGGTTGTAAAGCTGAGAGTTGGAAGATTAAGGCCATGCTTTATCGAGGGTTGTAAATTATCTAACATCAATGGCACAGACGAATCAAGTTTGCTAGATATCTCTGCATGTACAAATACCAAGTATCATTATTATTGTCAATCTTTCTTTTCTGGACATGCTATGTTAGCTTTTTACAGTTTTATGAGTCTTGCAGGCTATGTTTATCATAAAAAAATAAAATGGAGTAATTTATTGTATGTTGTGCTTATTTGCATTCCAAGTTGGATTGGTTGTACTCGGATAATTGATAACCAACATCATCCCTCTGATGTTTTAGTTGGGGCCTGTGTTGGGTCATTGTCTGCCTTATTTACCTTTTTTCTTGTAAACAATTGAGAACCAAAGTCACAAATTAATGATATATTCATGACTGTTAATATTTAATATGTTGAACCACTAAACTAGAATGTTTTGTTAATTCTTTTATTTTCTTCTTGAATTGATTGAATTTGAAGTTTTATTGAGTACATAGTCATAAAAGGCTTTGTATGATTTATAGAATAACATGAAGCATTATATTGGGCTATATACTATCAGTTTTGTTGAAATGACCTCAACAGTAATACCAGATTTGGGAGTTTTAAAATTTTTGAGTTTTGATTTAAAAGTAAGAATATTTAACAAATTACGTTTACAATGAGAAATTCTGATATTTGACTTGAATTAATTGATTTTATTGCTCTGGTTTTGTGATTGTCCTTTTTGTTACCTAGTTGATTATATCTTGTGTTGCCAGCAGATTGTTTGTAAGTAGAATTAAATTACATGCTGTATACTAATGATAGTTTTATTACTCTTTTAAAGATTGACTCAATGCGGCATTATGTCCAGCCAGTTTAGTGTAACCAAGTCCACTAATTAGTTCAGGTTAAAATTGAGATGATTTAAAACCTGACCATGCATCAACTTCATGTTAAAAACTAAAATTTGATCAATTTAAATAACACCATCTTCTCACTAGGTCTGGTTATGACATAGAGTTTATGTGTGACAGATGTCTCACGATCAGGACAGCAAATTACCGGGCTTCTACACATACCATGTCACTAATCCTACCGAAACTATCACTCAGGTACTTTACAATATTGTAGTCTTCTTAAAATACTCAAAGTTTTGCTGTGATTATAATTTAACAGCTGTTCAGTGCTCATGTAGCATATGACTGATAATTCCTACAAGATAATTGTGTCAAAAATATTATTTAAACAAGTATTACTTTAATTCTTGAAAAGTTATAAAAACTGTGATTTTTTACTAATTTATACAGGACTTATCACACTGTAGTTTTTGCTGTACGCTCACGGTTGCATATTACCAACTGATAGTTTGATATTCTCAAAATAATGCCGGCTCTGTTTGCTCAATGATACAAAGTATGCAAAACGTTCATTTGGAAATTATGTGACAGAAATTTTGTGTCCATATTACTATACGTCCTTTGGGATCGTTTACATGGTACGTGAGCCAAATTTTGCTCATTACATGATCCTCTGCACTGTAATTACTTTGACTCGGAGCTGTTGCATACAAATTATATTAGTTTACTATTTATCTTAAATTTCAATTTATTATTATTATCTCCAATCCCCTCTCCTCTTTGGCTGCTTGTATATCATATGAACAGTCGAATATTATAACTTTCACCTTCATTCCAATTCATCAATTGGTAATATCATGTTCTGACACTGTTCTGACACTATTCTGACACTGTTCTCTTTTCTCTGATTCATCATGTTTAACGGATTATTAGTCTTCTGGCATCTGACACAAATACCTGTCAATCTCTTCCACAATCCTAAAACATATTTTCTCTTCTCTGCCATTCTGATGAAATAGACAATGGGATTACATGCTGAATTCAGAGGAAGCAAGATGAAGGCATTAATCTGTTGGACTAAATCGGAGATGTGTAGTCTTTTGTGAGGATAAGCAGATTGCCCCAAGGAAACAAGGAACCCAATATTAAACAAACAATAAGCTACTGATAAGATTGCCACAGTGATGGTTGCGTGCCTTATTTCACAATCCTTATTTCGACCATTCAATAATAAGTTTGTAATACTCAATACATTGGAGAACACAACGACAATGAAGACACTAGCTAGGGTAAACAGGAATACTTTCTTGACCGAAGTTTTATCTTCTTCGTCAGCAACAAAAGAGAGTAAAGCTAAGATAAACATAGCCACACTGAAGCACGTGACCGCTATATAAACTGTCCTGGAATGTAGGACGTAGAAAGGTTTCCACAAGCTTATAGCTCTCGTAACAGCAAGAAGGCATGTGATAAACCCTGAGGATTGCTCAGCTAGCATGCAGATGACAAAGCAAACTTTCATGACATCTTGATCGACGGCCCCTCTCGCACTGCACAAGAAGACAAAAACACAGAGAGCCAGGTCGAATGAGTTGAGTGCCATGAACAAGTGTCTTGTTAAGCGCATGGCAACGTTTTGTCGCTCAGCGTACAAGTTGATCCCAGATTGTTTGATGTAGAAGGAAAGAGAGAGCGAGTTGCTGATTGTTCCTGTTAATGCCACCAAACCAGTGATGGCTGAGAGGACCTTCACTGGTGGTGTGTCCATTGTTACTCTCTAGTCTCTATATGCTTCGTCAGTAGTCACTTTCACTCATTCTTTCTATAAAAACGTTGTTTATTATATACAGACATTAGTGGACAACACATGTATTTTTTATAAGACTAGAAACACGGTGGTCAAAACGAAGCTTTATTCGAAGAACTTTAAAATCAAAATAAGAGAGTATTATAGACAAGATAAGAGGATTAGGACTCCTCGAACTACACTGTTACTCGAGCTGCTACACCACTAGGCCTTTATTCGTCGATGATTAAAAATATTCTAAGTAAGATTTTGCACCTGTCCGCCGTACATACATATAAAACGCGTCTACAACAGCTATATAATTAAGAACTGAACATGAATCAAAATTTAAGAAAAGTAATTAAATTATTAGATAATGGAACATCTAAGAATTTATTACTTTTCTTAAATTCAGTTCTCAATAAAGCTGCTGTAGACTGTCGTACTGTCTTAGTCCTATTTAGTTGCTCCTGCAAGGTACATTGTCTTGCGTTAGTCATTTACCCTTGTGAGGCAGTCATGTGATTATTGTGCATACAAACAGCTGGTATATAATTGTAAGAAATAAAGTAAGATATAACAGTACTGTATTGTAACATTAAGTAGAGTATGTACTATGTAGTTATTGGTTAGGACTCCAGAGGACTATCTAAAGACTTACAGGTGCAAGTCTTTAGACTTGCTGATCCAAAATAAGCAAGGGAGCGAGGACACGTGTGTGCGACGAATTAGAACGGGGTGAAAATATAGCACTATTGGCACTATAGTGGGTGTCTGTGGTCGCATTCTAAGCTTTGTGAAACAAATATTTCAAATTATTCTGAAATCCAGCTAGTTCGACTTCTTTTTGTAATTCAATAATAAGGGAGTAAAGTTGTCAGTTTGACGCAGAGCTGTACGCCTCTTTACTGTAGACCTCTTTTACAAGTTAAAACATACTCCAATGTCCAAGCCCCATTTTAAAATGTTCATTAAGTTACCGGACGTAATCTACATAATACAATTAAACTGCTCATAGTTCAAATAGAGACCCGAGACGACGAAATGGACAACCATATCAAGATTTAAGACCAGAGTATATAAAATCTCATTTTGTGTATTCATGTGACTTTTTGTAGCCGAAATAAACTAAACTTAGCTCTAGTCTCTATTTCTGCTATGTGTCAGATAGAAAGGAGATGTAACAAAATACGCGGTTAAATGAACAGAATACTGTTTGATATTTAGTGAGCAGGTATTTAAAATAACAGAACGGAAAACACCTTGCCATAGATTAGATTAGGAAATGCACGTACAGGTTGACATAATTTATAAACAATAGAATGGGTATTGTTAAAGGTGGTGATTATGCCTGGAGGTATGCCTTGGATAATTAACAGTGAGACTTTTAGTCTTATCCAAGTCGCCATGAAGAAGGGAGGTCTCTCTTTTCAATATGATATACAATATAAATAACTGAGAGACAATACCACCTTTGTTAATGTAAACCAAATTTAATAAATAGTACGGAAAATCGGTAAACCGAGGTTTTGAATTTTGAGTCCCAGTTGGATCATGGTTTCTCTCGGCACAGTACTGGTTCCCAATCAGGGTTATGGTTCCAACCACTCAAGTAAGGGGTACTTATTAGTAGTAGTAGCGCGTCTGACAAACTTGCTTGACATCATTGACCCATTTATACTTTATAGGACGTATTTCAAAGGATCGTGTGATGAACTCTGGACCTCCTGTTCAGAAGGCACACGCTCTAACCACTTGACCTCTTTGCTATGTTGTGCTTTGTTGGCAAGTGAAGCTTTGTAGTAAGGTACACTATAACTAGACAGGCGGAACAACAAACAACATAGCTGTTCCGGCAATTTCCTGTTCGGTTCCTATCTTTTATATCTTCCTGCGAGTAGAAGTGTTTGTAAAATTGTTTGTAAAAGTGTTTTGGAGTATTAACATTTTACATATTGCAATTGAGTATTGACGACATGGCCTGGACAGTTAGCTTCTATAATATATAGACTATAGTCCATGAAATTACCACCAAGCACTAAAAAAGATGTTGCACCAGTTATTAGAACCCCGCTGCACCACTAGCTACTGAAATCAAAACACTACCCAACAATAGACTAGATTCAGTTGCCAGGTGGCATCACCGCCCAGTTGCCAGGTGGCATCACCGCCCAGTTGCCAGGTGGCATCACCGCTCAGTTGCCAGGTGGCATCACCGCCCAGTTGCCAGGTGGCATCACCGCCCAGTTGCCAGGTGGCATCACCGCCCAGTTGCCAGGTGGCATCACCGCCCAGTTGCCAGGTGGCATCACCGCCCGGTCTCATCACCATGTCAGACTGTTTATTCGGTGCCGCCACAATTCAAATACCGGTGCTATCAACACCACTAAAAAGATCATATTTTGCAGAACAAAATCAATTATGATCACTTTAAGGGGTTGGTGCTGACCAACATCCTAGCATTCTTTCCAGATAGACGGTCAATAATGTACTTAATGATATCTCAGATATGAAGATAAATTTAATGTAGGACCTACGTTAAAAAAGTATATGACATAACTGTACATTTCGAACATTCCCCCTTATTTTACCGTACCACCGCATCGTTTACTGTGAAATATTCAACATTTTACACTTACGTTATTTCAATCCTGGGTTGAACATCTTACTATAGTCACAATCTGTATTCCTCAGCAGACGATAATTATGATGATATTGCTCATATCACCCTATAGCTATCCAACTTACGACACTTCATAACCTCTATATGTTCTTCATTACCATGAAGCTACCGGTTTGCTGCTACGTTATTTCAACGAACCAGTAAAATAACTGATGGTATATGATATTATAATGTGTGTAAGTTTCCATCTAATGCTGCTTCTTCTATGAAGTTAATTCAAAACTTAACCTCGAAACGACCATCATTGTGAATTTCAATAGTTGGATACTCCGCTCTTTGGTTATCGACACAATGTTATTCAGCTAGCAAAATAAAACATGTTCTAGATAAAATGTGATCCGAGTTTGTGATGACTATTGACTACACGTCATAATTTGAGAACGCTACTTTTTAACATCGTTACTGTGACTGCCATATTATAGTGGTCCCTGATCACTGTAAAATCCATAATATACAGTCTTACTACTGCCCCCAACTTGGTAATATATGTGAACAGCAAGTAGGGGAGCTTTGTTGGCTTCTAATTTTAAAATAGGGCTAGTCCCAAAAGGAGGAAGTGGACCTCCTCGGCGAGTCTAGAGTGGGGAGGCGACAGAGTACAACGTACAGTGCAGCAGTATTATTTCAATTTGTTTTGACATTTAACAACTAATTTGCCATTTCGACACTTGTTGCTTCTTAACATCACAAAGCCCTGTCCAAGATTCCTGAAAGCACTATAGGCTCACTTGGACTGTATGTTATTTGCGGTATTTATTGACATAACTGTAATTCAGCTGCAATATAGTACAGTCGCACTGCTGCAACGCGGGTTTGCGGAATGTTTGTCAGAAAAATAACAAAATGTGTACATTTTTGGAATTGAAATTTAATCTTCTACATTACTGCAATTGCTACGTTCCAAAAGTACGTTATATTCCAAGATTATTCTATTCCTCTCAAGACACGCTTCACAGATGGTGTTCAAGGCAATAATTATGTTAATATTAATTTATGCAAAAATATGTGAATATCTAGAACTTGATTTTATTTTAACAGCTCAGCTGAAGACGTTCAGTTGACTGGTTGTAATATATCACACATGTCCAGGCGCTAGCTACAGCAGCACGGGCAAAGAGAGCCAATAGTAACGGTACAGGCATGACTACCATCAAGATGGAGGACCCGTACAAGACCAAGTCTGGTTTAAGCAGTACTATATCACAGTTCCTGGCTAAGCTGTGGAGGCTTGTTAATGACGAGGAGACGGATGATAAAATCTGCTGGAGTGAGGTTTGTCGGGTTTTATTTCAAAATTCATATTAATTTTACATCAATATAATGAATCTTGAAGCAGGGTCAAATAGTATTCTCATGGTTACCTTGTTGTTCATAAAACACTTAATTTTAATTTTCGTTCGTAATTTATAGTAATCTTGAACATTTAGTTACAATATGCTTGTCAAGTAATCTCCCAAGTTTATGTGAACTGTAAATAATAAACCAGAAGATAGCGGCAATTTAGCTGTATATTCGGTGACTTCAACTAATCTCCATAATATATACTGCAACTGTTCGACCATATAATGAACGATAATATGTACATTTTGTACACATATTGTGTTCTAATTTAGTTTGTAACGTTCTCCACTTCTTAGCCCATCTCAAATTTCAACTTTCAATTTTCTGTCCTAAATAAGACCCTCCGTTCCAACAGCTGACGAAATCACACATGCCCAGACTAGTGAGTCTGAGAGAGCTTGGCATTATGCAATGTATGTAAATATCCTAAATAGAAGCTGTACGTGCTCACCACAGAAATCTGTCGAATATGTGAGCCTATTTTTCTGCAAAGGGATATGCTTAAAGTATTCGTCATTTTGAGCTTTACGTTCACATGCATACAAGCTGCACAACAACAGAATTTTACTGTTGTATTGGCCGGCACTCTAACTTTAAACTAACATAGTTGCATCTGAAGTAATATATCAACTATACAAAGTAAACCGTATCAATTAAGTCATTTATTAATTATTGACCATACAAGTAACAGCATGTTAATCCTATACAAATCTGTATTAATAAATGCTTATTTATATTTTAAAATACATAGCTACCATGCAGCTTGCCGCAAAGCTGAGACTTTCCTCAAAAATATATAAGCTCTAGTTTCTGCTTTGCGGTGAACAGTACTATACGGTTATACACTTTAGTTTACACTCAATTTACACTTATGTTTACATTTTCTGTACTCAATATTCCGCAGGACGGCCTTAGTTTCATTGTAAGAGACCAAGCTTCCTTTTCGATGGAACTCCTACCCCGTTACTTCAAACATCACAACTTTTCCAGCTTCGTCCGTCAACTAAATATGTGTGAGTATTCTTGTTGTTTGTTTGTTTGTTTGTTTATAGAACCCGTCCCCAATCTCGTATCGGAAAATGACTAAACTCAGGTCTGAGTGTGAATACGGGTGGTACCTGCAAGAGTGTTCATTAAGCATTTAGAGTTCTCTAAAACTGCAGTTACAATTGTGCTAGAGTATTTTTAGTATATACGATTGGTATCAGATATATATCCCTACATGCTTCCAAAATTTGTAAAGCCGTAGTACATACATATCACATTACACCGGAGCCTACACAGTGCAATCTCCTCCAGTCGATCTGCGCCGCATATGTTTATATAATTATAAGCGCGCGGCGCAGACTGGAGGAAACCACACTCTGCAAGTTCGATCCAGTGCAATGCTACATGTACGTACTACGGCTTCATCTCCAACTTTATGCACAATGTACTGGAATGTTTTGAAGGAAAAGAAAGAACAAAAAAAAGTGATATATATAAATAAAATCAGCGATTTAATGTTAGCCTTAGGAGGGTAACTTTAATTCCCTGGTTTCTAAAATCAGCTTTTAAAAAAAAATAATAAAGTATGTAACGTCGATACCAAACCGATTATTGAGCGATAATAACTGAGTAGTTGATTCCTGGGTTACGGAGTCATTCAGATGTTCCAGTTTTCGAATGTGGTTCTTGTTCAGTTCTTGACCAGAAGTGTCTAATGAAGTAAGTCAGACAAGCAAACTCTTCCTTAAATGCTGATATAAGTCGTCTCAATCCCAGAAATTATGAAGATGACCCAGTGTAAAAGTGCAAAAATCGGCCGAAAATAACAAAGACTAAAAACAGTTAAAAAGTGACAGGATTCAAACACAAGGAAAATTAATAACTTAGAGCGTAATAAGGAATATCTCCAAACGGAGTTTTCTGAGAGGGTGAGAGGTTCTTTAATTAGAGCTAATGATTAAATGAGACCCACTAAAGGTACTAAATTAACCGGACTGCTAGCAAGGAATCGAGAATAACTGTAGATTGGAATAAAAATAAAAGCGGAATAAATTTTAAGATAATGAAACAGAAACTGAAAGCTAAAATATATACCGTTCTAGAATGCCTCCGCAAACAATTGCTCCTTTGTAATGCACACGTGTTAGTAAGTGTAGTAAAAATATAAAAATAATAAAGCTATAAAAATGAACGGAGCGGTGAAAATCTGAGAGGGTGAGACTGAGACGTTCATCTTAATGTCCGTTCAAATAAAGTCCGTTCATTTAAGGTCCGTCCAAGTTACAGTCCGTTGAATTTTTTTCAAAAATTCGAACTTTTTGTCTAGAATATGACAACTATGAGAACTTTATTGTGCCGTAAGTTAACGACGGAAAGGTTCTCCTTGGTCTGCCGGAGGCACAGAAAACTCCACTAGTATATGATGTTTTCAAGGGGCACTTTGCGGAAAAAGTCAACGAGGGTGAGAGGTTCTTTAATTAGAGCTAATGATTAAATGAGACCCACTAAAGGTACTAAATTAACCGGACTGCTAGCAAGGAATCGAGAATAACTGTAGATTGGAATAAAAATAAAAGCGGAATAAATTTTAAGATCGAGTATTCTTGTTTATTGCCATCCATTCCGATATTCATGTCAATTCATGATATAACACGTGATAGCCGTACAATTCGCGTGGTAAAGGGACATTTTTAAAATATGTACTTTTTACTAGCAAAGTTTTTACAGAAATGTGTTGAACCAAACCATTGTTACCATGTTTTGCGCGCACAACGGTCGATCGATCACGTACGTACGTACGAACGTACTCACCCTTATCAAGTTATCATGTCATTTGCTCATTTCGGGTCTGAAGAAAATACACTGTTCGATCGAATATATCGCATACCTATCTTTGGTATACTTATTTTTGCCATCTGTAATTATGGTAATTACTTTCTCTAATTAATGTCTCAACTGAAACAAGTGAGTAAAACATCTTCTTGTTAAAAGACAAAGATAATAAAGTGTTGTACAGTAACCATAGATGAGGATTAATGAATTAGACAAAGCGTACGATTACACTCTTCCATTTTAGACGGGTTCCGGAAAGTAGTAAACACGGAACACGGAGGATTGCGGTGTATTAAGGACGATTATCAGTTCGTCAACAAGAACTTCTGTAGGGACAAGCCAGAACTGCTGGAACTCGTTAAACGGAAGGTAATTTATATGTGTAAGGAGGCAGTGAAACTAGCGGGCTGCGACCAAATGGTGACTTGCCACCCCATGGTAACATTAAATAAATTAACTCTGTTACATTGCTCCCTGTAAGTATAAAACGCTGTAACATAAAAACGATCTCAGAATACAATGTATCGTTGTAAAGTGCAAGACTTCCTGATATGAGCAAATTTATGTAAATTACCGGAAATATTCTTATATTCGAAGTCTTTTCTTATTTAATATTATCCGTAGCCCTCTTCTACTGGACACCCTGGTTTGCATCACAGCAGCAAAGAAACAGATGAGAACATTGCTTCAACTTTAAAGAAAGTACTGACGGAAGTTCATCACCTTAGAAAAGACAACGATCGCATTAGACACTCCTTTGAAAAACTGAAAGAGTAAGATACTATGGCTTATCTAATCATTCATTGGACTGAATTTCACATTTAAAACAGTTTTCTTTGAGCTGTTTCTTTCACTTTGACTCAATTATTGCATTTTCACAGGGAGAACAATAAGTTGTTTACTGAAGTTGAGAATCTCAACGACAAAAACAACAACCAGTCAATCATCATACAGAAAATAATCAAGTTTATCTGGAGCCTCGTTCACCAGCAAAACAGGTACAAAATCTCCCATTATCTCTATTTTAGTATGAACTCGACAACACACTTTAAAATAGCTTTAATTTGACTTGAATAATATTTGCAACTAAACAACTCCCACTCTCCCAGCTTACAGAACCAGACACGTAAGATGATAGAAAATGGTGAGGCAGCTAGTGGGTCACAGTTAAATGACATGATGGCTAGCACTAACTGGACGGAAGAGCAACGTTCCCAGCCTGTATCCCCTGCTCCTCGTAGTCCCTCCAGGTGAGTTTCCGTGTCGACTGCATTTAGAAATCGGAGCCGACTATTGTTTGAGACACCACGGTTGAACGTAACTCAAAAAGTCGGCAAAATATAGTATTTAGAGTCCTTCGTTACGCCACTGTCCCTTTTTTGATTTACCCTGATTCATTATGCAGGATAAACGATCGTGTTAGCAAGATGGGTAATGACCTGCAGTCCCTCCAAAACCTGCTGTCTCAGAACTTCCCCTACGATAATGATGTAGTGAACGATGTAAGTACAGTGTTATGCTTAATACGGCAGTTTTTTTTTCTAACTGGATCCCCTTCTCACCTTGTTTTCTGTGTTTCCAGGGCCTCCTGCCTCAGCATGTTTTCTGAATTTCTCGTCCCCTCAGTTGTTCGAGTACTCCTCTGAGTATGTCTCTCCAGCCATGTCCCCTGCTCCAGGTAGCAGTTACGGAGGCTCCGCCCCCGCCTCCCCTGGACCATCTGGATTAAGACAGGCTGCTGATGCTTCTCCAAACTTTAACGTTCAGGTTGAACAGGTACTTCAGGTTTCTTTCCTCATAATCGACTATAACTTCATGCCTAGTATGTAAAAAGCAGCACAGCCTGTCTTCTAAGATGTGTGTTGAGTAATTAGATTTACTCCTCAGTACCAAGACGATACAGTACCTGCCACAATGAGCATGGCCTCCCCGAGCTACATACAGCATCCTTCATCTCCTGCTACAAACCAGAGACAAACCAGTCCTTGTAGGTGAGTTGAGTGCAAAAAGTGTAATTAAAAACGTCTTAGGATGACCGGAAAGTAAAAAACAACCACCGATTAGTATCTAGAATTACAACAAGTATTTAAGCGTCCTCCTCTGATCTCTCAATATGTGTCACCTAGGTGTATCTGATCTCTCAATATCACAATATGTGTCTCCTAGGTGTCTCTGATCTCTCAATATGTGTCACCTAGGTGTATCTGATCTCTCAATATGTGTCACCTAGGTGTATCTGATCTCTCAATATGTGTCACCTAGGTGTATCTGATCTCTCAGACCCGTTACCCTGTTAGTGTAACAATGTTTACCATTTCAGAAGTCCAGTTCAGACACCTCCTCCGCTCCAGCAACGCTCGCCTCACATGTCACCTCACGTTTCACCTCATGTGTCTCCACATGTTTCCCCTCATGTTTCCCCTCATGTTTCCCCTCACGTGTCTCCGTACGTGTCTCCACACATCTCCCCTCACGTCTCACCGCATATGTCTCCCCACACCAGCCCAGCACACTCTGGCTCTTATCAGCAGGCGCAGGTAATTACACGATTAATTAATTATACAGCTAGTTTACTTTTACCTTGTTATAATTATATTGAACTTGAACCCAAACACAAGAAAATATCGTGTGGCGAATGTTTTTAGAGTGCTAAGAGAGTTGTGTCTCAGATGAGTAGCTACGTGTCGAACCAAGCGAGCACGGTGTACGCCCAGGTAGTGCACACATTACGTTAGAGTCATGTATTCGTGTGCCTGTGTTACACTATCTCTACTTACCCACACTTTTATAACTTACACTATCTCTACTTACCCACACTTTTATAACTTACACTATCTCTACTTACCCACACTTTTATAACTTACACTATCTCTACTTACCCACACTTTTATAACTTACACTATCTCTACTTACCCACACTTTTATAACTTACACTATCTCTACTTACCCACACTTTTATAACTTACACTATCCCTACTTACCCACATCTTTATAACTTATACTATCTCTACTTACCCACACTTTTATAACTTACACTATCCCTACTTACCCACATCTTTATAACTTACACTATCTCTACTTACCCACACTTTTATAACTTACACTATCTCTACTTACCCACACTTTTATAACTTACACTATCTCTACTTACCCACACTTTTATAACTTACACTATCTCTACTTACCCACACTTTTATAACTTACACTATCCCTACTTACCCACATCTTTATAACTTATACTATCTCTACTTACCCACACTTTTATAACTTACACTATCCCTACTTACCCACATCTTTATAACCTATACTATCTCTACTTACCCACACTTTTATAACTTACACTATCTCTACTTACCCAATTACCCGCACTTTTATAAGTTACCTGTACGTGTACCTCAGTAATAAACCTCACTTTTACTAATCACCCCTTTCTTTACAAGTCACCCATACTTTTTCTGGTTTCTCTATTTTGATTTGTTACTCTCGAGTAGTATTTTTGCCTTTATAGAATGATGGGATTAAAAAAATGATTGTCACCCTCCAACTGATCCTTTAAAGAAAGCCTTTAAAAAGCTCGGTTACCTAGCAACTAGCACTCTCTGTTATACTATTAGTGATTTCTTGTGTACATTTTTAGCAAGATGGAACAATTTGGACATCAGTGTTTGATTTTTGCTGGTATGTACTGTTATTTGAACGTATCCAGGCTGGTGTCCATGTAGTTCAATGGGGTTAAGAAATAAGATGATCGCTTATCGCAATGTCTAGACCCTAAATTGTTATCAAACTTACGTTTCCTTTTAAAATGAATAGTAATGGTCGACTTGTTCCATCTTGCTCATTCCTTGTTGCTTATAGAAGGGTTAATACAATTGCATCAAGGTAAGAGTAAACTCGGTTGTGTTGCCGATATAGTCACGTGATTCCTTTGTGCATGTCAAATATACCTGTACATTCAAAGAAGGAATTCTCGGCCTTTTAGCCTCCATAAAATGGATTCCAAGAATTGGGTGCCGGGGGTACAACCATATCGATACTAAAGCTAATACCCTGACCTCTAAGGAATTGCAGTACAACTAAACAGTCCACACTGCTTCCATGCACTTAAAATGAGTGGTACTAACAATAAGCTAACATATTGGTGGATTATCTGACACTTCATTCAGCAGGGAGTAGCAGGGATGCAACAGAACACATCCCCTGTCAGGGCTCAGTATCCTGGACAGTTTGATACCTACAGTCGGAGCCCTGGAAAACAACCCTACTCCACTTATGTTGCTGATAGAGGTACGTACTTTTTGTGTTATTTAAATTTGAAAAAATAAAGTGTTAATTTAATTTTCCATTTGTTTGCTATTATTAGATTTTAACTAGAATGTGTAGTGTGTATGCTTATTTTGATTAGATAATAAGCCTCGATAGTTTGCTTTTTCTACACTTCAATTTGTTATCAACAAAACAGAAATATAAATTAAATCAAAATCTCTCGAAATAAGATGTAGGAAAGTCACTAGACTCGTCCTTGACAAGCAGACTCTGTACCTCTAACATTTTCTTATCTGGCATGTTACTGTACGGTTTTAGTTTATCTTTTTTAACCAATGGTACCGTCGTTCTGCTACTTTTTCTCTTAATGTACTCCTTTGAAGATCGCCTCATGTAAAGACAGGCATTGTAAGCTGCAACCATATTTGCGTATAAGAAGAGGAATGATAGGATGATCCCCAGTACTATAAGAACATTGTCAGGACCATGACAGTGAACTAGAGCTGGCCAGCCTGAGGGTAGGAGTTGTAGACAGGAGAACTCGCTCCCCCACGCCCACACTGTACCATTGCACTCGAACAGGTCTCCTGGTTCCAACTCCCACGTGCGCAGTCGCTCTACGCGCAGCAGTGTGTTGCCGCCCCCTGTGTGCTCATTCCCCCAGTGTAGCCACAGTAGATGTCCTGCCTCTGCATAGGAGATGTTTCTGTCGCGCAGACACCACCACTCCATGTGGTTCGTGCGGGGAGGGTAGTCGAAGTGATAGGGGTCCCGGCGCGGCGTGGTCACCACGCGGATACTAGTCAGACTGGGGCGTCTGAAGTGGCAAATCCACCACATGTCCAGTACTGAGTAGTTTACCTGGTAACTGCACGTGTAGAATGACCCGTGGTATCGCCGCCCCACGGTGTGCTGCAGAGTGCAGGGTGTGTCCTCTTTTAGTGTCACGTGTTGTCCAGCAAGCTGCTGCTCCTGGAACGTTAGTGAGGTAGTTTGTATTCGATACAATAGGTAGTATAGAAACTGGAGGTTCGGGGACATATTATTGTTGAACATTGAACATGTTTTGAAAGTAAGTTCATCTTCTCCTGAGAAGTTGTAATAACAGGGCCTAAGGATCTAATTATATAGTTTTATCATCATTCAGTTACTATAAATCAATTTAGTTATTAACAAAAACCTGTGGTTCGTTCTTGGCAGATATGACATGAGCTGGGGAGAGTTCAGGTATAAGATCGTTACTTTCGCAGTGCAGTTCAGAGGAGGACCCCGGGTCCATCACAATCACATGATATGGTAAAACCTGTCGAGTTTTACTTTGAAATGTTTAAAAGTTTGGGATTTCACCCTAGTATGAAACAGCAGTACCTGTAGAGATTGACGACCCTCTGGAATCCCATTTACACCTCTGCCTCCGCTAAAATAGACGAACAAATTGTCGGACCGTATATTTACCACGTCCTAAATCATTGTATAATGGTATACAAAACCCTGATTTAATTCAGCTGACCTCTCTGTGCCGTACATCATTAATCAGGCTGTTATATCTCCTCCACTGGTCTTCAGAATCAGAGCAAATCAGTAAGAAAACGTAGGACAGTGTCGCGAGACACAATAGTCTTGAGATAGGTGTCGCGAGATACATTATACTAGGCTCATAAAATGAAAAGAACTGAAAAGTAAGTTGTATGAGACCAGAAGTAGTAAACCCGCGATGGGGTAGCATGTGCCTCAGTGAATATTGCGATATGTATATTGTATAATGTACACTATTTCCTACATTGAGACTTGAGTTATTCCAAGCGAGACAAATACTCAAAATTAGTTAGTTTTGTTTTTTTTCACGGTTAATTTTCTGAAAGAGTATTATATACAATACATCTATACATGATATATATCAAGAATGAGTCACAGTTTCACATGTTCGCTCATGTACAGTTGTGCATGCATGCAAGGAAACTTCAGTTAATATCGTAGAAGCAACACTTATATTTACACTCATATTTGGCGGATATTTTAACGATATTTTGTAACTTTTGAAGAAAAGGTTGAGATCTTGTTACTGACTCCCTGATTAATAGTGACCTAACCGTACATTTGAAGTTTAAATGTATTTCACCAGCTGTCATATTATGTTCGGTCTACTTTTGCCTTATTCTTCATTTCATATTCATTGCCAGGAGGAATGACTAGCACGGAGAATGTAGTAAAGAAACCTAAGTTGAGTGCTTACACACAGAACATACAGTGGGACGAGGATTCTGAAGAGGATGATGACGATGCAAAGATAGATCCCACATCCTTCTTCAGCAAGTAGAGAATAACGGCTACTCGACAATATTGGCTTTATTAAGCTATAATTGGCTATTAATTAAAGTGGAAATTAATTAAGGTTCTTCCGCTCAAGAACACTGATAAGATTAAAGATATCGCGTGTTGTGGTTGAGGACAATTTATTGGTTGTCGATCAATTTGCACAGTGCATGTACTGCTTCCTTATTTTTGGACAGAAAAATATTTTTATATTTTAAGGCAATTAATTTATTATCTATTTTAGTACAGGATTGATATTGGTACTGATTAACTTAATGTATATATCCAGTCAAGTGGACAACTGCAGCCGTGCTCATATGATAATTAATATTAATTTATAGGCTTTTAATCACCGGCTGAAAACTGGACATTGTTTAAAATTATGGTACGATTCTTAGTTCAACCTTTAAATAGGTTATTTATCAGTCGGATTTGAGCTCATCGATAGAATACAACTGATCAAAAGTCTGTTTTAGTGTAAGATTTAGGAGAACCGCGAACTAAACTTAGATTTGTGCAGATGTCATCATGATACACCTTCAGTATCTTGATGACACATAAAACCTCTATATTCTGGTATGATGGAGAAGAATCCTACTTAATATTAAAGTTTCTTTCTATTGATGGGCTCACAAAATTATCATTTGGTCGCAACTGGACTGCGACCCACGGTATTTTTAGCACACCGCCTTGAACTGTCGCATCTTTGATCATTATGTTAACAGAACTTAGAATATGTACTATCAGCATAGTTAGCATTTTCATTTATTCGTTTGATACTGGAATTGTTCGATCGTTGAAATGTTTAAAATTCCTATGTCCGAAGGTCCTTATTGATTATCATCCACTGTGGTAGCAAAACCGGAATTTTCCCTGCTAATGTAATGTGGATGTTATTTCTAAGTAACCTATTATAGGGTATTATATCAATTTTAACCGCAATTTCAGGACCCCCTTATTAAGTTAAAACCTTTATTTGGGAAACCCCTTGAATCCTTAGGGGTTGTTAAAATTGCGTAATCACTAAGGGGGAGGGGGTTTCTTACTGATATAGTGTGATTTTAACAATCTCTGTCTAACTGAGGGGGTTAAAAAGTGATTTCGTAATAATATGTAAACTACCCGCAAATGTGTACCTCATATCTTGTGTTCCTACTAGCGTACAGCTTAACCCGCTTTAGTGTACATCAGTCGAAATATAGAGGGCGACTATTCTACCCATCATTCGACCTATGTGTCCAAATGCGGATTAGCTGTTTTGTGCTATCTGGTATGTTTTTAGCCGAACGATTTTTTTATTTTCCTCCGATCATACGCCTAGATTTTACCTTAGGTCAGTCTGAAGATGCAACATGCAACGACTAATTTTGACTAACCGAGATATTAATCTTACGAAAGTCAGAATCTAATTTGAAATGGGATTAGGCAGCTAGGTAGTCAAAAATAGTCTTTGCGCTTTATGCATTATGTATAGTTTTTGATTTTATTGAAGTAACTAAGAATAAACGTGATAATTATTCAATAATGCTTTATAGAATCTTATCATGGTCATGAAAATGTTTTTCTATCATCAGCTCTTAAATGTTCATACAACTAACTAATGGTCTCCGGAGGAATTATTCATCTCATGTGAATTGGATATCACATTTTTAATATTTCATTTTTATACGACAGTCCTTCAATTTGATTAATATTATGAAGAAACACAAAAAATGTGAAAAAATATGCAAGGCGAAAAATTAAGCTTTTTAAAACTTCGCTGTTTGCATTGCAAATAAATCATAAATAGGCTGTTTAACTGTATCTCGAAAGAAATCACAAGCGTGCTAAATCATCGACACCACACTCGGTCTTGCGAGATTTTTCTAAAATAGTACAATAAATTACGTCACGTGATCAAAACAGTTTTTCACTGATATTACTCGTCATATCAGGGGAGCATTTTAACCCTTTGATTGACGATGTCAATCCGTCGAGATCGTTGCTCTGCGAAGCAGAGCAACGATCGACGACTTCGATGCGAAGCAAGAATGCTAGTTTGCGCGGCGCGTCGAAGCGGCGAAGTCCTCCAATTTAACCCTATACCATGTGGGCTGATTCGGAATCAGCGTTCAAATACATCGTTAATACGGGTGCTACTCTTAAAATATTTGTTTCAAATATTATATATTAGGACCGTCGACGAGTCCAACTATGCGCGCATCTTTGGTCTTGGTAGGTTATAAACCTACAAATACATCGGAGTTAGTTTCAATTATACTTATAGGGGACCTTAATAATTGTAGCGCGCGCGATGCACATGCACTCCGCTCTTACTAAATCGCTCGCCCAAATTTTAAGAAAAATCTTGTAAAAAGGCCCTTTGGGCATGAAAGTGATCTAGATCAGTGTATTTTTGGTCGCTGATTCCGAATCACCCCCATGACGTAGGGTTAATATGCTTCCCTGGAGAGTTATGGTTAAAAAATTGTTTTGGTCACGTGACAGGCTAGTAAAATACGAATTCGATTGTTTAGGGCCCGGGTTAGGGTTAGGGTTGTGGTAAGGGTAATGGTTCACATAGCCATGTGTAGCTACGCGTACTGCGTGACGCGCTTGTTTCACAAGTAGAATTGTTTCACAAGCGAATTGCTGCCTTCGGCGGTGATCGCGCGCTACTGTGTACTGCAAGCGAGAGAAAAGACAATTTTTTTTTTTTGAGAAAAGACAATTTTATTATTTATCACCAATTCAATACATAATCAATAAATATATATCCGAATAAATTTGATTAGAAATTAAATGATACAAGTATGCTAGCAGCTAGCGCGCTTATATTTGAGAAATATTCACGCTGTTAAAATGGGTTTTACCACACCGCCACTCACATTAGCACAGTTGGTGAACGGACCCAGGCGCTGTTAAGCTTTTATGAGCCCTGGTTGACTGCTGAGAGTGGCGAAGGGGCTGATATTAATTTTATCTTAGTTTAACCTAGATTCCAATAAAATTTTAGTTTTGTGTTATAATTATATGATTTTTATGCGATATTTAAGTTACAGCTGCTCGCAATACATTATTGCTTAAAAATTGTTAAATATGCTCGCTATACGCTTAGTTTTAGAGGGCTCTGGTTAGATCAAGGGTAATGGTTAGCTTCGGGGTTATGGTTAGGGTTAGGGTTGGGATTAAGGTTTATGTAAAACCGTTTTGTACGGCTGCAAAACCATAAAAACCAAAGTCACGTGAAATTTTTGGGCTAGCGAATTAGTAAGTATAAGAGCTCATGCACTCAAATCACCATACGTACCATGGCCTGGGCCGCTACACACTTAATTTTAGCGCTATAGTTATGGGCCGCGCATCTTCTCGCAACCACAGATCGGCGAGATGCGACGCGAAGGATTGACCATTGACATCGTTTAATTGTCGATGTCAGTTCTTCGCAGCTCGGCGAGGCCAAGTGGTGCATCTCGCCGATCTATCGATGAATTATTTGATGCGCGGCCCAGGAGTGCATAGCGCTAAAAATATACAACGTGTAGCAAATCGTAATCACGACACCCAACCCTAAGAGATGCCTTGCTCTTTCCAGAGCCCTTGCGCTTGCAGTGGCGCGCGCGCCCGCCTCCCGGCGCTTGTGCATGTGAAATTCACATAGCCATGTGTATACGCGTACTGCGTTACGCGCTTGTTTCACAAGTTCTGCATTTCTGCAAGCGAGAGGGCTCTGGTTAGAACAACATGTGAAACAATGAACAAGCGCGCCCGCAGCGGCGCGAAAGCACTTGTATCACGTGGTGACCCCACGGTCGCTTCACTGTAGAGTTTCGACGATACAGGGGAGCCGCGCACTCGTGCGCAGCGGGTCATACAACGTATGACAAGAAAGCACATGGTTAGATGAAGACTTTTCCGTTAATCATATTATAACAATATTCAATACTACTTCATTCCAACTCGTCTAACTAATTTAAATGAAGCACAGCTTTTCATTCCATCTGCCATCATGTTGGCCATTACTTAGTTTTGTAGCTTGCACTTGCTAGTCTATTGTTGCTCCAACCAGAGCCCTTTCACGTACGTATAGTATGCGAGAAGCACAAAAACAAAAAAGAGTGTCGTGCCGGTAACCCAGAAAACCTTACCGCCTGCTGGGCTCGCTAGAGGTGTTAGGTTTTCAACAGCACGTTTGGCGTCGCGCGTCACATCGAGTTTACCGTTCGCACGCTGCATTTAGTTTAGTAGTCATGACAACGACATGACTTTGCAAAGTTTAAAAGCGGTGACCTTTTATTTAGCCAAAAATCAAACTTTTCGGTTTAATTCAGAATCTAAGTTGTCCCAGATTGTGCTCCTATCCTGGGGAGCCTCCTTTAAATTTACGAGACGGACATTTTGTTGAAAACCGGAAGGTTCTATCTATTTTACTTTTGGAGATATTCCCCGGCCGGTAGGGTTTGCTGAGAACATTATATTAGCAATTGTTGATTGTTGAGTGTAGCTTAACGGGTGATACTCGTAAAATATTTGTTCCATATATTATTATTAGGACCGTCGACGAGTCCAACTCGGCGTGCGTCCTGGTAGGTTGTAAACCTACAAAGTGTAGCGCGATGGCCGATGCGTTATTTGGCCGCGCTGCGCATCCAATAATGCTTCTCGCAACCTTCGTTAGATCGGCGAAATGTGCTACTTGGCCTCGCCGAGCTGCAAATAATTGACTTCGTCAATTAATGTGTACTAATAAATAAACGCTTCCAAATGTCAGTATCAATTGTGAATGGACCACTATACCAAAGCTTGTCATACATTGTATGACCCGCCGCGCACGAGTGCGCGGCTCCCCCTGTATCGTCGAAACTCTACAGTGGGGGTCACCACGTGATAACTGATACAAACCAAAGCCTGCCATGTGCCTTGAAAGTTCATAAAAAGTTCAAAATCGATCTCGCCAAAGATCATTGTTATATGTAGGTTTACAACCTACCAGCACGCACGCCGAGTTGGACTCGTCGACGGTCCTAATAAATGGGACAGATATTTCACGAGTATCACCCGTTAACAAAGATCAACGATTGAACTTTTATTTGACGTCGGATCACTCTAATATAAATTGCATCTTTTATTCAATGGCTGAGCTGTTGGATGCTTGATTATCAGCTGGATGGATTTTGCATACTTTTCATATGTGGTTTTGAGAATTTTATGACATTGAACAAATTTATTTATCGCGAATTTTAAGGACTGCTAGTATTTTGTATGTATTTAATTGTTTTCACTTCTGCTCGTTTAGTGTTTAGGCAGTTGCTCTTGTGGCCAGAGTTTTATAGTTATATATATATATGTTATTTAAACATACTCGAAATTTGACTATTTTGGTATTACGGGCAGGTTAGGTGAAACTTTACGATGATCATGAAAAGTTAATTATTTTCAAGTGATGCAAATGGCAAACCACAGTCAAATAAAGTGTTGTATAATCTCTATCAGGGGATACAGAGGTACCAGAACCAGTGGCGTAACTTTGCCTTTTGGCGCCCCCCCGCTCAGTGACGAAAAGCGCCCCCCTTAAATTTTTTGTGTCCCTAAAAAAAAAAAAAAAAAAAAAGGTCGGGTACTTTTTTTCTCGCCCCCTACAGATTTTTGCGCCCCCTGAAGCAGAAAAGGTACCCTAAATATTTTTCGCGTCGACCGAACGCTAAATTGGACAGGGAAATACACAAACAAGGCGTTTTTTCAGTAAAAGGGCCTAAAATTCAGGAAAATTGCGCCCCCCTTATACGGCGCCCCCCCCCCCCCCCCCGCACAGCGGGGTCTGCGGGGCCCTAAGTTACGCCACTGACCAGAATCCTTCCACCTACGGCAATAAGTGATTTGGACCTTAACCTGATCAACACTCTTAAACCTTAAAAGGTCATGGAGTACTTGTTGGATGGGGGTCTAAACTGCTTTTTGTTGTGATGTGATTTAGTGGATTTTATATATATTATTACAAAGGGTTTTATTTTTACCTCAGTTTTTAAATTTGTACCATTTTTACAGAATTTTTATATAGGGTCATTGCTATATTATGTGTAATAAAGTGTTGCAATTGGCAGGGCACAATACATATATATACACTAAAATGTTTTTTAACACATCATCTACTCCATCATCGGGGCAGTACAGGGATGAGGCATGAGACTTCTGATAAAGGGTGAAACTTGATCTCGATTTACCCCTCAAATTTTGGAAAAGTTTCCACATTTTTAGTTTGATGTTGTACCTGATTGCGACCCTTGGGAATAAGTGTTAAGCCTCACAAATAGGTCACTGATGTTAAGCAAGCTTGTCAGGCTCTTAACTTACCCTAACTAACCCTGACTTAATTGCTTGTGAACCATAACCCCCAGTTACGAACCTACATAACGCTGCTAAACTTTGGAACAAGTTCAGTTCACTTCTAGCTTCGGTTAGCTTGTCTGGTTTAATATTCATGTGCAGTGGCGTGACGAACGGCCCCGCTGACCTCGCTGTGCGGGGGGGGGGGGGGGGTGGGGGCATCTTAGGGGGCGCTAAATAGTCGTTTGAATGTGGGACAATTTTGAAAAACTTAACTGAGGTACTAGCAAAACTGCGCGTTTTTCTCTAGAAGACGCCAAAAGGGGAAAGGGTGCCAACAGGGGGGTGCATTTTCGGCGGGGGCGGCGCCAACAGGCAATGTTACGCCACTGGGCAATGTTACGCCACTGTTCCCGCCACTGTTCCCAAGACGAAGGTGGCACAATGGGATCCCCCCTCATTGTTGAACTTGCTGAAATCCGCCTAGCTGAAATCGAGACCTTAGCTTTATCCTCATGTCCTGACCCTCCGAACACTTACTCCCACTTCGTCGACGACGGCCTTGGATCTTTCAGAGACAGAAACCACGCAGAATCCTTCCTTACATTCCTTAATTCCCTTACTGAAGACCTCAACTTTACCCAAGAACATCCCTCTACAGACGGAACTATACCCTTCCTTGACGTTCTCATCCACCCTGACAAATCCACATCAGTCTACAGAAAACCCACCCACACCAACCTCTACACCAAGTACTCCTCCTGCACCACCAACTCATCTAAGAACGCAGTCATCCGATCACTGACCAGAAGAGCCCACAACATCTGCTCACCCCAACACCTTGACGACGAACTCCAGACAGTACGACACGTTTGCCTCCAGAACGGCTTCCCCCCTCACCGCATCACCACCATCATGGACAAAGTACAACGGAAATTCACCAACCCCTCTCGCCACCAATCCCTAGCCTCATTCAACCGACAGACCCGTGAACATGCCCTTAGTGTTTCTCTTCCCTTCCATCCCTCCCTATCCAAACCCATCTCCAAGATACTCGGACAACACGACATCAAAGTCACCCACTCCTCTGCCACCTCCCTCCGCAACCTCCTCACCAAAACGAAGACCACACCCCCTACTCACCTCACTCCCAACACCATCTACGAAATTTCCTGCTCACAGTGCCCCTCCAAATACACCGGACAGACCTACAGACCTTTGATTCACCGCATGAAAGAACACGAACGATGTTACAGACTCAACAACGCCATCGACGAATCCACAGACAGAATCAAATCAGCCCCTGCACATCATGCCCTGACCACCGGCCATACCATCTCCTGGAACAACATCGAAGTCCTCAAATCCCTCACCTCACGCTCCCAACTTGACCTCACAGAACACGCAGCTATACAAATACGACAACCAGCCATGAACAGAACAGACCGCGCACCCAAATGTAGTTCCCTCTGGGACCCCATTCTTCCTAAAATTGCCAAATCCTTAAAGTCCAGACCATCTGGCATTTCCTTCTCAACCTCAACAGAAGACTAAATTTTTTTATTGACATTGTACTGTAATTTTCACTTTCCCACCCACACCTCCCCCACCCTCCATCCCTGACACCACTCAATCACATATAAGCATTGTCCACCCCATCACATTCAGCTGACGACGATTAACACATGTTTATTGAAAGCTTCTACAAGTTAAATCATCGTATCTCTTATATGTTTCTAACCCAACTCCACTCTGTTCATGTGTATTTTAATTCTATACTTGGAGCTGCACAAGTGAACCAAACCAAACTGGAACAACCCAATAACCTGTAGTTTGTGAAGGGATATTGTATGTCGTGGATTCAAAAGTCAGAACCACTATTTATTGTATAAACTGATTTACTGTACTATTTCCCTTTCCCCATAAATTATACTGTAAAAACTACTGAATTAGCTATTTATGATTTAATAATAATTTCATTTATTGGTTACTTCTCTTCTAGTGTCACGAAATGGACATCACATTAGACTTTGATGATAGTCTGAACAGTAAGTAATTTCATCTGTCATTGAATGATAACTATCAGATTTATATCTTGGATTTGATCATACAAGTAATCTTAGATTCCTAATGTTGATATTATATATTATCTTAATGAAACTAGAAACCCGCTATTCGAAAGCTGTATCAAGGATTTTTTTAAATCAGGTATGTTCTAATTTTTCTTCTTCATATAGCTTCATACTACACAAAACATGGATTTTTATTTACATGGATAACAAATTTCTAAGCATTCCCTGATCCATACTTTTTACTGCATCATAAAGCGTAAAAACATGCATTGTCTGTGCTTGCTCACGCATGTGCAATCTTATGATGTTGCTACGCAACTATGATTTCGTTGAGTTTAAAATTTAGTATATAGATGATAATAATGCTTCAACATCACCAAGCTTTGTAAGTCTGGTCATATATGTCTTTCAATGTGAGCAATATCTTTTGAGGGGAAAGCAGGTAAGGCCGGGTATAATGAATATTGACATAACAGTATTTTTAGGTGCAGTTCTTTACTTGAACTTCTCAAAAGACTTCAACCAAAGTTCAAGGTACTTTTTTTCAAGGTTATTTTTGTAAATGTAAATAAACTCCATTTCAGAGACAGACGCCAGCAAAATGGACATCAGCCAAGGTCAGTAGTTCCATAAAATTTACAAAGCAGCTGCATCATAAAAATGTTAACCACTAAATTTGGCTTTAAACTTATAAGTGGTGTTTTCATAGATTTGGGTAATAAATGTAATACGTCTTCTTCACTATTTATTTTATCACTGCATTGAATTGATGAATTTCTAGGGATTCATTTATTATTCTATTTAATAATAAACTATTTGCACCTTTATGTTTGATCGTATTCCTGGAATAAGCCATTTGTATTTCTCAGCTCTGATAATTTACTATTTTCAGAGTCAGAAAGTGATCAGGAGAAGGTAAATTTCTGCCACAAATTGTTGTTTCTTTGAAAAAGATTAATCCTCTTATGGTTAAGATGGTTGTGCACTATATATGCAGCGAAATTTGAATGATACAATAAGTTTGCCATGGCTATATCTTCATGTTTTAAATATGATATCTTCATTTGTTTATGGTTTTACCTTATTTAGTATTTATTTCTACCTGTAACATCTGAATGAAACTTTAAAATATTAATAGAACGATAACATATATCAAAATATTGCAGAGTTTTCTTAAGAATCAATAAATAAGTAATTACGTTTTCCTTGCACATACTGAATGATATTCAAAGCAAACTACAGGGCTGAAAATAGTGCCGAGACCATGAACTAAATACACCAAACCGCAGGTTGATGATGCTTCTCAAAATAATGAAGGTGTGCTCATATACTTTTACTTGAACATTTATTTCAGTTTTAATTTGTTTGTCATAATATGTGATCATAATAAAAAATCCTAAAGTTATTGAACTTGCCATACAGCTAGGCTGAATTAGGGTTAATTATTTTAGTGATCCTCGATAAACATTTGAAATTGATTAATGAAGAAACTAATCAATTATAATTACCCAGGTGAAGAAAATGATAAATCAGACGAGGGAAGCATTTCTTCAGAAGAATCACAAAGACAGGAGGAGAATAATGCGGACGGAAGTTCTGAAGAAAAAGAAAACGTAACATTTTAGTCTATATTTATTTGTTCAATCCGGCAATAAGATTTACGAATTCTTTGCACTATTTAATAACTAGTTACACCTAATTAAATAGTGTAGTTACTAAATTTGAGCACTATTTGAAGTGTGACCTCCGAGTTCTTTTGTATACACAGTCAACAACATCAGCTAATACGTTCAAGGTTTGGTGAGTCAGCTATCAGCTAGGCAGTTAACATTTTGAAGAAACTCCGGTTCAGTCATTAAAGCTTTTCAGATAAGATTATTTTGACCTGGTTCCACTGAGTATATTAATTGAACAAGTCACATTAGTATTTCACATATTATAGAAGAGTACAGACGGCGAAAAATCAGACTCAGAAGAAGAAATCAGTCCGGACAAACCAGAAGAATCCTCTGAAAAGCAGGGAAACGAAGAAGAAGGAGAAAATAAGATGGATGCTACAGTTGCTGAACCGGGTGAGACAGGGGCGGAACCTGAAGAGGGTGAAACTGTTGCTGAACCTGAATTTGATACTATTGAGTTAACATCAAACGAGTTTGAGAATGATCTGTTGGGCGCTGCAATTCCTGTTACTGAGGACGCTTCTGAAGGTTTGCTCAATTTAAGTGACAATTTGTAAACTTTGAGGGGACTTTAAAGTAAAATTTCGTATGACACTCATTACTCATTAGTGGATGACTAAATATCATCAATTAAAGCAGCCCTATGCCATGATTACAATTTGTTTCAGTAGAAAAGGTGAAAGAAGTGCCTGTAGTGGAGAAAGTTGTGCAGAAAGTTAAACCTGCCCCAAAGAAGTCAGCACCAGTGAGTTGTAAAACAATACTAACCTCTAAATTTTAGTTCGAACAGATAAATTAATTCTGTAGGTTAATCAAATCAGCAGATTATATAAGGATATTATCATTACTTTTGAGATTCTATCAAAATACATAACACGGTCCGTGATTTCTTTCAGCCCCCTAAAATTCACAAGAGAACGTTTGAAGAGAGCGAAGAGCAACCTGAGCGACCTCGTATACAGTGGGAATGCAAACTAGTCAAAAACATCATCTCTACAACTCTTCTAAAGGTAATGCCTTTTGATGATATATCATGTGACACGAGCGCATGCTTTATTGAGCACTTCCTCTGACAATGATATCAAATATTAGACGCAACCTTATTGAGGATTTCTTCGCAGAACGGCATCTTTTAGTACTAGCTGACATTGTCCAATTGACTATTTAAAGTTGATTTTCGCGCGAATTATTCTTACCGACCGACCGGAGCGCGCGCGCGACCGGCGCGCGCAGCCGAACCTGGCCTCGGTCGCAGTTTAATCAATTGATTAATTTGTTACTTTCATTACTACATGGTCATTGGTCCAATAATGCATAGCTAATCCTGATTTGATGAATACCCGTGTGGTACCAATAGCTAACCAATATCACAGTTAAGAAACCGTCATTTGTTATTTTAGGATCTGATAGAGGTGAAGCTGAACAAAGAAGAAGAGAACAATGAAGCTAATCTCGCTCGCGGTAGAAGAAACAGGCCTATCCGTACCACCTCTGGAAGTGAACCTAAAAAGAAAGTTGTTAGGAAGGAGGATGAGGACTTGGACTTTGAGCCCGAGTCTGAACACGACTCCGATTCCGAGGAGGAGAAAGGTAAAAAGTTGGGGAGAGGAGGGGGCCGGGGGTTAAGTTTGTCAATGTAATAATTGTTACATGATTTGAAATCCTGGATAAATATTCTACACTTCCTACAGATGCTACTCGAGACCCCACAGCATTCCCCGCACCTCCAGCTGAAGCAGTGGGCCGGTCCAGAAAGGACGAGAACAGAGCCCTACTCGTCACAAACCTCATCAGACCTTTCACTGTCCTTCAGCTCAAGGTAGGCGACCATCTGGCATCTGGGGTGGAGAGTTTGATAACCCTCGCTGGGGCAAACTAATGACTTTTTAGAAATTAAAACAGGGACATTTTTTATTTTTCTTAGACTACAACAGTGTGCTAAATTTCAGACCATGTTATCGCACTGTGGTAAAGTAAAGAGTATTTGGATCAACACTATCAAATCTCGCTGCTACGTAGTGGTGAGTTATTTTACATTTTGATTGTCAAATAAATTTATAACCCCTGTCCCCTCCCCCAAATCTGCCCTAATTTATATTATATATTCCCCAACTCATGTTGCAAAATTTCATAATTCAATCGCATCGATTCAGGCCTAAATCTATTCTAGTTTTTGAGGTTTATTATCTTAGTATACCGATAATATTGTTGTCTTTCAAAGCTTGTCCCTCAACAACAGTTTAAATAACAATTTTTAAAACTAAAGCCAGTTTCATTGTTGAATATTGTGGCATATTGCGAAAAGTTAACAGTGATAAACATTAAACAATATTGGTGATACACACCCTGAAGCTATTATATCGTCTCCTACCCGTTTCTTTTGTTGTAATTATTAAATAGTCCCCTCGCTCTCTATCTCTGCTATACGTATACGTGTCAAGCGTTTTATTAAATAACTTTTAGTCATTCTTTGGAACTCGTCAAACGTATCATCTCTACAAACCTATCATCTCTTCAATCCTATCATCTCTTCAAACGTTCTCTCGCCAGTAAGATTACAGAATGTCAAACGTGGAACTTCCTCTACTGATCCTCGTCGTCCTCTTCTTTGTCTCTCTCAGCGAATCTGGAAAAGTACCTGATGTTGCAGAACTGGAAAGAAGATGTCCAGATGATGATGAAGCTCCAACTGATGATGACAATGATGGCTGCTGTCCAAACTGTGGGAAAATACTTCACTTCGTGCACCACCACTCTGAAGACTCTTATCACTCCGAAGATCATTTTCATGGAGATTTGTCGTTGTCCGGCTGCGCTTGCGGTTGCAATGGGTGTGACGGAGGCTGCAACGGCGGTGGCTGTAACGGTGGCTGTGACGGTGGCTGTGACGATGGGTGTGATGGAGGCTGTGCCAAATCTCTCGTTTTTGATATGTGATCTGGTATTTGTGGACGGACTAAATAATTAACATTAGATGATATTGAACTTTAAATTTAGTAGCTATGGGATATATTTTGAGAATTGCTAATTTTTTATTGAATATGTGTGTTTAATTTTCAATCCATCATAGTCAATCATGATCAATTATTTTTGCAAACAAGTAATACAGTGAAACCTCCATATACCGGCCCTCTCAGGCGAAACGAAAAGTGCATGGTATAGAAAACCTCAGTATAGAGGTTCACATGATCCTATTTCCTTGTATTTCAGACTTCAGTAGCCTCGCAAATAACCTGTTAAAATAAATAAATAAAAACAAATAACCTGTCAAGCGTCTCATATGCACCTTATTATTATGATACGTACTCAAATCAACACAAAATGCGATATTATGAGCTGTAAATCACATTTCTTGCACAAAACGAGCTTATTAAATACTGAAGTCGTATTTTGGTACGGGTAAAACTGTAGGGAGTATAAAATAATCTTTTAATTATCAAATTAAAGAAAAAGGATAGTGAGACATCTTCGTGTTTGAAGATGTAACTTGAATTGAGATAAAGAAATTAAATCAAGCCTGCAACACATTTATGGATTTGCAATCTGCAATTCTTCAATTATAAGCGTAAAAAGTAATAGGTTCATTTCAATGGCCAAAAGGAAGGCGCTTTTGGAATGCGTATAAAATGGAAACGAATATTATCAGAGAAACTTTGATATCCTTCCCCTGATTACCTAAATAATGAATTGTCCGCTTGTGTTATTAATATTTTAACAATAATCCATACTACATATCTAGTTGCGGAACCTGAAACAATTCCACCGATACGATATGTATTGAAGTAGTTAAGATGTGATGCGTAAAGAACGTATAAAATATGAATGAAGTTACTGACCGGTTGGTAGTACCTAATGGGCCAAATGGACAGGTTCCTGGTGAAGTTTTGCCCTGAAATTGTGGAGCCCATGACTTTGAAAGTTAAATGTGAGGCGAGTTAATAACAACATTTTCGCCTTTTTTCGGAGACCATTTACTACAAAGAGTGTAGATCGCCAGTTACGGATTAGGCGGAAGAATGTCTAAACCGACGTTACACAAGAACATCCCGCTCCAACCTGATTTCTCAGACTCTATCAATAGTCACATGATCGTCATAACTAGAATAGGTAACCCGGTTAAATATACAGGGTGGGCCAAAAGTCAGTGGGCATACGTTGGCCTTAATAGCTCCGCTGTGTTTTACGTTTGAGAGCTGTTGCTTTGCAGATGGCATACTGTACTTACTGGTTCGAGGATTCCGTCGTCAAATTTTGAAAATTCGAATATTTTAGACCACGCCCATTCGATATTAAAACACCTATATTGTTTTCTCTGAACATGCTGAACGCCTATTTTTTTCGGAGACGGTAGATTATTAAATGTTGCATTTGATCTGAAAAGATGAGGCAAAACGGATTAGAAATGACGAAGTTATAAAGCATTTTCTGTATCTCGTTAACAACATTGACTGGGTGATTATGTGACACGACACCACACGTAATGAATAAACTCGTTTAAATGCTTCATATCTCTGTCATCTGAGAAGCTACAGTTCTAATTTTTTTCAGGACAAACGTAATTCGCATGGCCAAACACAATTCAATAAAATTTAGCTCGATTCGACTATCCAAACTATCAAATAAATGCAAAAATGAACCTTCATCCGAAAAAAATTAACTCGGATATTTATCGATTTGACAAATTCCTCGAACCAGTGGTAGTAGTAAGGGGGGGGGGTCCAAGGGGAACTTTGGGGAACTTTGGGAAAGTCCCCCAAGATTTCTGAAGTTCCCCAAAAAAAAGTTCCCCAAAACTCCCCAAAGTTCCCCAAAATTCCCCAAAATTATTCAAAATTATTTAAAATTATTCAAAATTATTCAAAATTATTCAAAATTTCTCTAATATACATTAATACCCATTAATGTTAACATGTATGTTATTATAAGGTATAATCTTAACTTACTTGTTGATACTTGCAGCATGATAATTTGTTTGGCATGATAATTTTTTTGGGGAACTTTGGGGAACTTTGGGGAATTTTGGGGAACTTTCTGAAGTTCCCCAAAAAAAAGTTCCCCAAAATTCCCCAAAATTATTTGTTTCATTGATAATTTTTTGGGGAACTTTGGGAAAGTCCCCCAGGTTTCCTGAAGTTCCCCAAAAAAAAGTTCCCCAAAACTCCCCAAAGTTCCCCTTGGACCCCCCCTAGTAAGTCATACCAGAAAGAATTATTACAATTGGGCACTCGGTGACTGAGCTATTAAGGCCAACGTATGCCCACTGACTTTTGGCCCACCCTGTAGTTTGTTGAAAAAATGAAAGAGAGGTAAGATGTGATAAAACTAACAGTCTATGTAAGCCACTAATTTGATCAAAACTGCATCCTCTGTTGAAGTCTGGGTGTAATCTATCGAAAACTACTTCATACTGTAAAAAAACCTTAAAACAGTTAAAACTCGAGTTGTGATAAAGATAAAGATTGCCTTCGCTGTCCTCTAATTAGCAAGTACAGCTACATTACAGCTCCGTAGAGTATGGTATCAGAAATATTTATTTTTTGATTAAGACCGAAAAATTATGAAAATTATGCCCATTTATTCCTCAACTTTTGGTCAAATGGGCAAAGGCAACCCCCGGGATATTATCTGATTGTTGAATAGATAAAGCTATAGGATTTTAATTCTACGGATCTCAAGTCTCCAAGCATGATAACAGGTGATATCCTCTGCATCGACATCACAAATAAGGGGGTTATGCAATAGGATTAAACAATCAGGTGGCCCAATTTTGAACTTTTTATAGCGGCTTTTCCTGTATTTTCCTACATCTTTTACACAATCTGAATCTGATATATACAATAAAACTCATATCCACGCTCATTGGACACGCTTAGGTCCGTTGAAACCGCAAATTCTCCTCAAGTTATAAGGTCCGGTATATAAATAATCCGAAAATCAATAGGCCGGAATAAGTTGGTCCAAGAGTTTCTAATATGGGCAGTGTTAGTTGATCTGAGCCGCAGGTACGGAAGTTTTACTTCGCGGCCTCGCAATAATGGAGTCTCTGATAAAGCTGTATTGTAACTCCACGTAAATTAAATATCGACAGCTGATAGGTGCCACGTTCCTTATCGGGTTTAAATTTTATATTTTATTTGATATTTGGCAGGCCATCTTCAATATTTGTCAAAGGGACACAATGTAAAAAGTGAATAAAAACAGCCAGTCAAGGTAATATTATTCTATAGTTCCTTTCCGTAGTGAATTTTCTTTGTTGTCGAATAGTTAGTTTGATTTCTTTGTGACTGTGTTATTGTGATCGAATCTCTCGGTGCGACTATTTGACACCAGTTCAAACAAAGGTGTTGAACTTCTTTGTTAGCAGTTAGTTAATAAGAAGAAAAAATCTTCATTTTGATAACAGTTTGGACCGAGAAATTACTAATTTGCCAAAGTCATGAATTCAACTACTTTTTTAATCCTGGTACTCACAATAGTCGTGAGTTGTTATGCTGATTTCTCTGAAGACCTATCTGATGAGGAAAGGTACGACATGATGAATGAGGTCTTAAAGAAGGTTGCTCGAGATGAAGCACTAGCGGATTCCATAGGTTCTAGTGCAGAACCTAGCGAAGAAGAAAATGAAGAAGATCTAGCATTTGGTGAAGCATATGTAAAAAGATCCAAATTCTCACAGGATTTTGATCTAGGTCTTGTGACGCGATGTGACCATGGTGACCATAAATGCAACAAGAATTGCCATCACAACAAAGGCCATAAATGCAAAAAAAATTGCCATCACAACGAGGACCACGATTGCGACAAGGATTGCCATGACAACGAGGACCACGATTGCGACAAGGATTGCCATGACAACGAGGACCACGATTGCGACAAGGATTGCCATGACAACGAGGACCACGATTGCGACGAGGATTGCCATGACAACGAGGACCACGATTGCGACGAGGATTGCCATGACAACGAGGACCACGATTGCGGCGAGGGTTGCAATGACCATTGCGACCATGATGACCATGAC